CCCCCTCCTTTTCCTCCCCCGCTTTTCGCGCCCCGGAAAGGATCGTATTTTACTTTGTTCCTAAATCTTGTTCGGCGAGAGCGGGTTCTCCCCTATCCATCAACGTCCCGCTTCGTCTACGTCTGTTTTATTTCGTCTATATTCGCAGGCTTATTTAGGTTTCCAATGCGTTTTTTAAGGCCACCAGGTGATCAATCTCCTCCCGAGATTACCCTGATAGAAATGGATCTTTGTTTCATTCCCGGCTGCTCCTTCTAATATGCAGATATTTTATTTCCCTTACTACTATATATAGGAATAGGAAGAGAAACGAGTTGGTACGAGAAAGGTTCGATCCATTTTCGTTTCTTCTTTCGTGATTCGGTGGATTCGACGGTGGATTCCACGTGGATTCGTGTACGAATACGTCCTCCTCTCGAGGCTTCTTTATACGTATATATATATATAAGTTTTGTTTCGTTTTCCATTAACTTGAATTTATATTTCAACCATTTATTTTTTTGCCGAGTCGTAAATCACGAGCACGCCTCTCAAATCCGTAACCAAACTACGCTGCCAAATCAACCAAGGTGTCTCCGATATCTCAGGATCTGCCCTTTTCAAAACTATTCCCCTCCCTTGGAACGAAGAAGGCTTATCCTACACTTTTACACGTTGAATAAAAACCAAAAAATCCGAAGAATATTTCACCTCTCTTTCATCATCGAACATCTGAAACCTCGATAAATGTTATATATATATAGTATATATAGTATATCTGTTAAATTATACCACATTTTTACTGATGAAAATTGTCAAAACCTTGTTCCAGATATTTTCCCAAATCGACATATTGTTCAGCATTGGAGGCAAGTATTACACAGGGGAACCGATCACCTACACCTACATGGAGGACAAGATCTTCGAATCGTCGCGAAACATCACCATCAAGCTCCACCACCGTGTCGGTAAATACGTGAAACTGAGGCTTCATTTCTCGGACAGATGGATCATGATCAGCGAGGTGACCTTCGACTCTGGTAAGCGCATGCCTAAGCCGCGTCCTTCTATATTTCAAAAAAATAGAAAGCGCTCGACGTAAAAATATTACGAATCCCCTGTATCATTTCTCTTTCGAAAAAACTAACACGCGATGTGATGTATCGCGCGATCCTCATCGAAATATCCGTTGTGGAGTGTCGACCGATAAAACAGCTACCTAACCTACCTATCGCGCTCGGGTTAGCTCTCCCGTCGCGTCGGTCGGCGTAAAAACGTATAAAAACAATAGCCGGAGAGAGAAGGAAAAAAAAGCGCTCGTCACGGAACTTGTGCAGAACTTAGAGCGAATAGAAAAAAATTTCTGCTCGTGACGCGAAATCGTTTCACGGGGCCCAGACTTTTAGGCGGTGAACGCCTAAGGGGAGAAAGAAAAGCCGCGCGTACGTTATCCTTTTGCAATTCCGTTGCCCGTTTCGCTCGGATTTGACGTGACTCGTAACCGTCCCGTCGTTCTCCCCTCCTTTTTTGTCCGTTCCTCCTCCCTTCCCGATTTTCCACTCCGTACACGCGAATCCGACAGGGCAGCCGGCAACTGTCAATCATCGAGGAATAAAACTCCGCCGTGTATAAATTGATACACGATAATTGACAACGGCTTATTATATATCCGTCGGTCGGTCGATTTCGATTAACTAAGTCGTAACCGTACCGTTGGAAAAAAAAGATAACGTGATGGATGAATTCCGAATGAACGATGGGCAAAAATGAATCGGAATACAGATTGGTTGCTTCAAATTTTCTTGTTCATTTATTATTATTATTATTAGGATACGTACAATTACATAATTCAATTTTTTATAATTATAGATGGATTAGATATTTTTTGGAAAAGTGAAATATACCGATTGCTTTATAAGATATATATAGAATTTTATGAAGCGATAAGATAAGATAAGATAAGAATTCGTCTCGATTACTCTGTAAAAAAACTTTTTTTCAGCACATTGTAACATAATACTGACTGGTTGCCACTGCTGTTATTGTTTCTATCTTTCGTTACTCGTTTTCGTTATCCTTCTCCTTCGATTTTTCTTCTTCCTTATTCCTCCCCCGTTCCATATTTTTCTTCCACGCGAGTGAGAACGAGACCCGGATCCGATATACGATCGGGACGACCCGCCAACCGTTTCAATAGAAATCAACT